ATCCTGCACCATACGGTTGCAGAAACCAAAGCTCTCATAATTTAAATCATGTTTTGTATTTGTAAATTTATTTCATTAAAACAGCAGTTTCATAATGAACGATGAATTTTTATTCATATAAAATTCTGTTACGGTCAAGAAATTATTCTTATTCAAATAAAAAATTAATATTTCATCATTCAAACTTTGGTCTTGCTTTCCGAACATTATTCTTGGACCGGTTTTGTCGTTATTAGGACTCATCAGCAAGGAATATACATTCTCGATTTCGGTCACTAAAGGAATCTGAAAAGGCGGTAAATTCAGCCGCTTACATGGACGGAAGTTGTGAGAGAATAAGTAGTAACAAAGCTTCAATTTTGCCAAGTGCGAAGGGTTTTACTTTTTTACCTTGTGTAATATAATACTACAGTAAATATATGTTAACATTATGTTATTAAACTTAAAACATTTATATTACATTAAAAAACTGCACTAATAAATTATAAATAAAAAAAACTATTTAATAAAAGTTAATAAGGAACAAAAAATACAAATTTAGTTTTTTAAATTTTCATTGGTGTTTGAACAATATCATCTTTGTTAAGGTTTTTATTAATCTTGATATGTGATTTTCCTCCAAGGTTAGATACTCATAATTATGATTATTAATTTCTCTAAACAAATTTTTATTTTAAACTAGGAATGAAATTGATTATGTGATTAAAAATACTTTTTTTAAAGATAATGCGACAGTTTTACACTAGTACTTACAGCCGAAACTTAAATTACCCCATTTTTTTCCTAAAAAATAATTTTCATTAGCTGTTGCGCTAGAAAGTGAATCCTGGCCAATAGAACATTTTATCAATTTTTTGAGTCATCACCTTTTTAGTAACAAATATCTCTAAAACTAACCAATCTATGACTTAGCAACTTATATAATAATTTAATATAAGAGTTTCTTTGGAGTATGCAAAAGTGTAATATTTCTTTATGAACTCGTTCATGACTTAATCGATGCTCCAAATGTTTTACAACCAGTAAATTTTAATGCACATCAAACGAGATCGCGAAGATATCTGACATTTTATACCCCATTCGCTTGATTTAACTTTATATTAATGTGTGATAAATTTAATATGGTTTATAGCTAGGGACCGACCGATATGATTTTTGTGGCCGATACCGATATATTATGAATATTTCACTATAAAAATTCACTGATTTTGTCCCTTTAACAAAATGTTCAGGACAATGTACTTGACTCAGTTTCTTGTGGTTTGTTTTGAAATGCCTTTGAAGAACTTACCATACTGATATGATAAGCATAATAGAATTTGCATTAAATTAGAGAAAATACCAAAATGAAGATCCTTTGATATGGTAGGCACAATAATAAGACATTTTTCTACTATTATACCAAGTGTGTCTAGTGAAGAGCTATTCTCTTCAGCTGATATTGTCTAGGGCGTTTCATTAATGGAGAAACCTAATGTCATTCCTCTTCCCTCCTTCAGTCTTGCCACTACGCAAGGCCTACGCAGCAAGGGTGGCTCCTGCCCCCCTGACGTTACAACTTTATAATAAAATATAAAAGTCATACACCTAAAGTAGGAAAAATAAAAAATAAAAAAACAAAAAAAAACAATAAAACATAAATAAAAATAAACCACTACTGTGTTACAAATTTATAGAATGTTTTTATTAACAACTAATAAAAAAGAAAAGAAAAACTATTGTTTTTTTATAGGCCTCCCTTTCCCTAGTTCAGATCCAGAGTACGCTGTTGCCAGTACAATTTAAATAGGGAAAGTACCAAGTATGACACATCATCGAAAAGGTAATTTTATGGGGAATTCAGCAATTGACTGTTCAATGCGTTACTTTTCATTTTATCGCCCACTAGCGGGATAAAAAACTGTTACGTATTGTAAAGTGTGACACTATTAGCAATTCAATGCATCACATAACATTTAACCTAAATATCCCCATATTGCACTTGCAACAAAATAGTGTTAGTAATAATGCAATGTTTTTTTTTTAATTTTAATTTAAGTTTTGATTTAATTAACATTATATTATGTAGTACATTGAATTACTAATAAAATTAGCTTTTAAAATGAAATGGTTCCAGGGTATTAGTGGGTTCTAGTGGTAAAGCTGCCTCGCTTCCAGTCACGTCAAAATCTTGACTCTTTACCATAAACCATACACTTTAAAAGATGGGCCATTCAACAGTGTAAAATTATACTCATCTTTAGGCGCCATCTGTAGTTGTTATCCACAAAGCTGAGTAAGAAAAGAAGATTAATAATTGGCAATTTGTTCATGATTTATTATACGGATGGCGGTAGGGGCAAATGAGCGCGGGTTTTTCAAACTCTGCCTTTCTAATAAACCAGTATAAAGTTCTTCAAAATTATAATTTTTTTTTTTTTCACTTAAAATAATTCAAACATTTTAACAGAATGGAGAGGATTGACATATGACAGTTTAGGATACTATAGAAAGGAAGTGGCGGTTTGTCCGTAAGGGCACTTGGGCACGTGTCCTAGTATAATAAACCAAAAAAAAATGAAATAACTTACATATTTTATATTTTCCTCAATGTCTATTATTATTTTATCTAATATTCAGCGCAAACCGCGTTGGCACGACACTGGACGACCGGGCGTTGAGCGACATTCCGAAATTAAGTGGAAGGGCACAGTAAATGTGTGCCTCTGTTGTTTTCTCTCATTGTTTTCTCTCATTATGATGCGAAAAACAAGGACAACGACAATATCGCTTAACAAGAGATGAGCACATGCGATGGATTATACGTCACAAACAGGGCGCTGTCCTCATTGTGAACAGATTACCTAGACCAGATACGAATGTACGCAGCGGCATCTTTACCGGCGATGCCGGTTTCGGCTAAAGGTGCGCGTTTGTTGGACCATGATAATAATTTATTTATTGTGATTACGAAAAAATGTTAGTTGGACCATTGGAATAGTTAAGAAATAAAACTACAAAGAGAAATAACTTTTTTTTTATAAAGCAGTCAAAAATATGATGAAAAAAAATCAATAATAATTATAAATGGGACAAAATTTTAATTTTTCTTTTGGTTTTGTCTGACTATAGAGTATAAATAATTTATTGGTGTACATGTACATTTTCGCAAATTGTTGGCAAGGATGACCAAACTCTATTTTGTTCATCTCAAAAAGGTATGAGTTGGAAATTCTAGGCTTAGTTGACAAACTATCAAATAGATATATAAATATTTTTTCTAATTTGAAAATATAAAAGAGAAATTTTTCGCTGGGAGATTTTAAATTGCCAAACACCTTTTCTTCAGAGTAGTATGCTTTAAAATGCGTTAACAAGTTAGAATTGTTAAGTAAATTGCATTCTTCTGAGAAATTTACGCAAATTTCGCAAGAGTGGATATGTAATGATTTTTTGATTAAATAGCCACATACATAGTTAAATGCATTTTGAGTGGTCACATTTAGCTCCCTGTAGTCACATTCAGAAATCGTTATTGCCCTAACTGATTGTTTTGAAATATATTTAATTTTCATTAAGCGGAGAACTTGTTTTCCTAAGGGAAAAAGAATCCCGGGATTCCTTTCCAGTATGTGCCCCACTGCCGCTAGTGCCCACGAGCCGCCACTGTAGAAAGGCATCCCCCTTGAAATAAAAATTGACTTGTTTTTGCGTTTCTTTCAAAAATATTATTTAAGATATTCTGAGTTACGGCCAGGCGCTACCCTTAATGGATCGCCCTATATACGCAATCCTCAAATCTCAAAAGGAGCAGAAACTTTAATTTTGTTGCAGTTTAACGTACCAAAACTTGATTTTAGATAATAAAAAAATATGTTTTTTTAACTTATTCTTTTCCTTTCAGATCATTTTAGACGTTATTGTTTTTCTTAAATTGAAAAATTCTAGAATATAAAATATAATTTAAATTGTTTTTTTATTTAATATTTGTGTCTTAATTTTTTTTTTTTTTTTAATTCTTATCAATTGAAATATTTAATTGATATTTTTAATTGGCCGATACCGATATCGGTAGCGGTCGATTCATATTTAAAACGAATGTTTTGATTCGCTAAATAAAATCTGAACTTATGCATCGTCCACTTTACTCCAACAGTGAAATATATTTTTCCTACGACCACTTAGGAAAGTGACACATCATACTATGTAGTCCTATGGAAAGTGCCCTATATCACACGCGTATGAATAAGAATTTACTTTCCATCCGTGTGCGAATATGCTATTTTCCGCATCAGCTGTCAAAATATCAAACGCATCATTTCTATTTTGATCTATGTAATGTCCATATTAATACTAAAATTGATATGATTGTTAAATTATTGAAATTGTAAATTAGATCCTAGATATTTATCTTTAACAATTATTATTAGAATAATTTTAAAATAACTAAGTTATGTTTGCTTTTTATTCTGGTTAAACACATAACCAATTAGATCATTCAATTGACGCAAGGCCTATTAGCTCAGGTGGTAGAGTATCAACTTTGCCATGTTAGACCTGGCGAGCGACCGTGTTCAAATCCTTGCGGCACAGAATTTTTTTTTTTTAGTTTTTTTTTTTTAGTTTTTTTTTTTTGTTTAGAAAATATGAGAATTGAATAAATACGATTATTGTTGATTATTTTTTTAAATACATTTTAATTATTATAATAATAACCTGGTTTTACATTTTTTGATGAAATTATTTTGTGGTCGTAGGAAAAATATTGTACATCACTTGTGTGAAAAGTGATTTTCCACACTCGTGTGATAGTCGCACTCGGCGTGTGCCTCGGGCGACAATATTTCCCACTCCTGTGAAAAATGTCACTTTCCACACTCTTAATGTAATATACTATTTTTTTTCTGTTTAAAAAATACCCTATTTTACGTATCCTTGTTAAGCAATGAATAAGTTCATCTTTTGTTGCCAGTTAGACAAAAAATATATTTTTATTTAACACCAATGTTCTTTTTTTACAGTGTCTGATGCAGAATGCAAAAGAGTATGTGCAGCATTCAAAAGACTTACCAACGGCGGCCAACTCCTTAGTCGCCATGCCTTTACTCAAAATGTACTCGGAGATGGCGTACCTATAACCATAGCCGATTGGTTGTATACCGGGTGCGGTGGCAGTACCAGAGGAATAGCTCTTAGAGATCTCCTCTGTGGTCTAGTTTTACTCACCAAAGGCACGCAAGAAGAAAAAATTAAGTAAGTGCTCAACTTTAAAAAAAAATGAGGGACTAGACAGTTATTATAAGACATATGAAGGGCAAATAATAATAAACTACTGCAATGATTTAGGCTTAGTTTAAAGAGACCAAAGATATATATGTTATGCACAATACTTGAATTCAGGTAATGCTCGAAAAAATGCACAAAACTAATTTTGGGCAACAACTATTTCCCAAACCCGAAGTTGAGTGTTACAAAATAGTCAGAATAAGTTTTACACATTTTAAATTGCACAGAACTAGTTTTGCATATTTTTGTATGATCAATACTAGTTATACTAGTTGTTTGTGTTAAAGTAGACCCCTAGAGAGCTTTGTTTCTAAATAAAATTACAAATTATTAATACAGTTTTCTTCGGGATGTGCGATGTGATATAAATCATTACAAAGACAAACTAACAATGATATAGAATCAGAAGAAGAAAATATACAACAAAAATACGAAGCAACGACTTCTCATAGACTTCAACGGCCTGGATGCAGCCCAAATTGTTGTATGTTGAAGAAACAAATAAAAAAGTTCAATATTTACCATTAATAAAATCAAATAACTAGGTACATTAAACTTTTAACACAGCTTATACAATACAGCTAAAACACTCTCTTGGCGGCAACGGTTTGCGTCGATTTCGTCGCGCATCGCTTAAGCTCCGCCTTCGAAGGGAAAAGACGGTTTTGGCGTTCAGAAGCGTATTTAGGTAAGGTGTTGAGTCGTGCGTATAATTTCGTTGATTGTATAATTTCGTGGAGCCTATAATTTCGTTGATTGTATAATTTCGGATCCCATAATTTCGTTGATTTTGTTTGAGTTAAAGGTACTGTTATTATTTTGGTGACTCTTTAGCTGTGAGTAGAATGAGTGAAAAAAAAAGACATCATTCTGTTTGTGCAGTCAAAAGCTGTTTTAATAAGGGTTATACCTGCAAGAAAACATTCTTTAGTTTTCCCAAGGACCCAAACCGATAAGTACCACATTATAAGAAATTTTCATTGTTAAAAATATAATTTATACAGGGTATCCCATTAGTGCGTTATTGTTCATTATTTTGTTGTAGACGCAAGAAAGTTTTAAATAAAAGTTATATGGATTTTAAAAATACCTACATATTTTAAAAATATCTTTGGATATACAGAGTGTCACGTTTTTGCCTGGCAAATTAAAATGTATGTTTTTTAAATGGAACACCTTGTATTTTATTTTACGATAAAATTATTAACACCCTAAATTATTGTAAAGACGAATTGATACAGAAAAATTTTATCAGGTATGTGTGTGGTTACCTTTTAATAAAAGCCTTGCGGATCCACTCCTCTGCGATACCTGTCTTAAATATAACGAAGATCACGTCGAATTAGATGATTTTTCTTTTTATTGCTTTTTAAAGGCATATGATAACGCCAATCCAGATACATTTGGAAATCTGTAACTGTCAAATGATGAATTTGTAGAACTAATATTCAATATTGAAAAGATATTTTAAAATAATTTTGAAGAATTGGCTACAAAAAATAACATTTGTACCACACTTTTAGAATTAATTAACCCAATACCCTTTAGTCATCCATGCTAACGTTTTCCAAAAGAATAACTTATTTTATTGTATGTTTAATCTCAATAACTAAAAAATATACTGACAATTAGTTTGACAGAATTGTCATTTATTTAAAATTTTAAAAATAATAGCAGTCGGTTGATCAAAATATGAACGGTGATTGGCGAATTTTTTTTTTTTTTTGCAGTGTTCTCACTGCCTAGAATGGATATGAAATATATTCGTTCAATTGAAGGCAATAGCATACTTTTTCGTTTTGTAATCTGTGCATGGATATTAGCCAATCTACGCACATACTACAAAACGAAAAAGTATGTTATTGCGTTCAACTACGAATATATTTCATATCCATTTTAGGTAGTGAGAACACTTTAACAAAATTAAATCTACAAATCACAGTTCATATTTTGGTCACCCAACTCCTATTATTTAAATTTTTTTAAATAAGTGACAATTCTGTTAAACTAATTGTCAATATATATTTTAGTTATTGATATTAAATATACATTAAAATTTTTGTGTAGACTCGATAAATAATAGCATTTTTGTTTGTATTGTGTCCACATTTAAAAAAAATAAATTTTAATCAAACTACATGATACTAATTTAATTACGAGTATTAAAACTAAAGTCCTGAAAGTTTCGGTGAAGATGAGGATAGAGCATCTGCCTTCCACGCGAAAAGCCCGGGATCGAATCTAGGCCGAGGACTAATTAAATTTTCATGTTTATTTTATTTTATAAATTAGTCAACTTCGTAAATTATTTTAAAATTAGTTATTTTGTCTAAACAACCTAAAATAATTTTTTAAATTTGTAGATTTTCGTTAGTGGGTCGTAGAAAAAATATACTGACCATATCGAGTGGATTGTTCATATCACAATCAGACGATTGAGTACTCCGCCTACGACGTCGTGCTCAAACTTCGTCTTTGTGTGATATTGCTATCATATCCACCCTTGTTGAACAAACTATAATTTATTTGTTTTCTTGGTTTAAACCAAAACTTAAGTTTTACATCAGAAATAGGAACTAAATTAATTTACTTTTCAAGTTTTCTTGTAAAAATTGATATTACTTTCTCCAAGTACAAATTTAGTAACTACCTAAAATAAGTACTAATTATGTAATATCGTGTAATATTGTAATTCAAATTTCACATTACTATAAGTTTCAAAATTCCCTACTTCGGTATGGTCAGATAAAAATTGAATATATTATATTAATAAAAACTGTCAAAGTATTACTTCTACAAATCTGTATTTCAATTAATAAGAATACATCTAAATATAACCAATATTGTTAAAATAAAAACACAAATTCTTTATAATTCCAAAATACCATAGAGTTCCCAGACCTCAGTCGAAGCATTCGTTTATCTAGGTATAAACCCTTTGCGCGAAGAGTAACACTTGCCAGAGACACGGGGTACCACTTGATTTGCATTCACGATTCTTTAACAATTGAAGCCCTTGGTGTAAAAAGGATCCAAGCCACAATTTGTCGTGAAGTGACTGTTTTAGCTCAAAACATTTGTTAACCAGGATTTTACTAGCCACATACAAATTATTTTACCTCTAATCCGAAATAATGTTTCTAATTATATTTGACAGATTTAAAACAAATTAAAAATTTAATTTCCCAAAACTTACTTAATATGGCATATAACCAACCTTATTACGCCAAGGTTTTTAATTTTTTCAATAATAAAAAAATTATTTAATCCGGGCCCGACTTTTCCCTCGAATCTAACAGAGATAGCACCATTCCGTCTTGCTTGGTTCTCGACCGCCAGATCAAAGACGCCGACACGGAGTTGTGGAGCTGTATTGTATAAGCTGTGCTTTTAATATGCAAATTAAAATGATAAAAGGCAAAGACCAAAGACAAACACGTTAGGAGTTCAAGGTTATTTACTACTACTACTACTACCACCCTACTTTTTATACGGGTTCAGACGTAAAATTTTCTGTAAAAGTTACATTAAAAAGTTGCCTAGTTGAGTCCATATATTTATGCCAGACACGGTATATTGTTTCTACCTATAATTAAAATATGTAATACTCATTGAATAAAATGTTTTTTCTATTTCTATTTTAGATTCCTTTGGTCTCTCTATTGCAGTGACTCGGTTACTCACATTTCTAAAAATGAATTTAAAAGTGCTTTACAAATTGAAGGTGGCTTTCCACCTTCGGATAAGTCTCCAAAAGTGACATCGTGGGATCGAACTGTCAATTCGTTATTTAGTAATCAAGATAAAGTCAGTTTTGAAGACTTCAGAGCATGGATCATATACAACAAGGAAGCCACTGTTTTATCGAAATGGTAAGTTCCATGTTCTATTTCTTTAATCATTTTTTACCTGGCATTTTAAACTAAAATCTACCTTTGCCTTTTGTAAATTAAAATGTCACGAATTACAATATAATTTCTTAGTAATGAGGTCTTAAAATATGTATTAACATCCCTTGAATATTTTACTATATTTTGAAAAATAATTTTTTTCATATAAAATTTTAAATGAAAAATTGTTGTTTAAATAAGTACATCTGTCCGCATTTAAACATTAACTAACAAAATTATAAACCACCTTTTAAATTAAAATGCACCGAAAATTTGTAACAGCTTCGAGATTAAGATGTAGCTTAGTGAAAACATTTGACTACTCACTCGATTATGGTGTAAATTGAAGCCCTTGATGTAAAAAGGATGCAAGCCACAATTTGTCGTGAAGTTACTGTTTTAGCTCAAAACAGCTGTTAACAAGGATACTAGTCACATACCAATTTTTTACCTCTAATCCGGAAGATGACTTCTTTTGTAATATTTATATTTAAATAATTTTTTAAATTCATATTTGACAGATTTGAAACAAATTTAAAGCTTAATTTTCTCTTATTTTACGATGTAGCATGTAACCTTATTACGCCAAAGTCTTTAATTACAAAAAACATAAGAAACGATAGTTTTTTGAGGCTTTAATAAGTAAATACGATATCACCATATAGTGCAGTTGGTACTGTATCTAGTATAAAGTGTTTTTAAAGTGCTCTGTGAAATTCAAAGAAATCTAAAGTAAATAATATTTAATAAATAGTGTGTTACATATTATGAAAAACAGAATTGTTGAAGAGCTATGTGTTAGAAATAATAAAAGAAATACCAGAAGTCCTAATTACGAAATACATTGTAATAATATACTAAAATCAAATATTTATATTAATATCCTAGATAAAAGAGACCGGAGATGTAACATTGCACATCGCGCACGTTGTCTATTCCAACCCTAAGTAACCCACCAATTAAAAATCATTGTTTTCACGACGCCACCCGAATTGCTTCGAAATTTCTATTCTATACTTGTCTTCGCGTGAGTAAATGATTTATGGACCGCCGTTTTTTAAATTATTTGTTGGTGTTATTAGCAATTTAAAGTGTTTTAGTTATTCAATTTCAAGTTGAAAATGCCAGGATGTATGGTGAAAAATTGTATATACAAATAATATAAGTGTCAATGTTATGAAAAATAAGAAATATATTCGTTTTCAGCGGTAAATATTTGTTGACGTTTTGACATAAAGTCGCCTTGATTCTTTGAGCTGAATACTTCAGATCCGCATTAAGGGGTTTCAATAAACATTAAGCATCAAATCCAATATTTCAGAAAATAGATTTCATAATGCATTAATTTAAAAAAGAGTAAAGTTTTAAAATTTTAAACATTTAATCTAAATAAGAAGTAAATAGGCATTGTTACTAACGAAATTTTGTTTTTAAAAAGTAGTTTTATAAGAATATTTACTAAAGGTGGTTTTTAGCCCTTTATTAGATATTTTTACAAGAATATTAGATGAAATACAGATTCACCTACTTAAATTTTCAAGGTTCATTTTATTTGCGGTTAAATCGGAAGTGACATTTGAATCTTAAGTATTAAAACAAAGTAAAACGCGCAATATGATCTAGTATAAGCAAAAAATACTAAAGTTACGGAAATTAGTCATATTATTAGTAAAATGTTACATTATAAACCCCCAAACAACTCGAAAAAAATCTTCGTTTACTAAAAAAATCTAAATTCTAGCAATATTTATTATACAATCGAATGCGGTTTCAAAGATAATAGGATCAATAAATCCGAATCTTTAAATTTTGGAGCTAAATGCTCGGATAAAAGCATGCGACCGATAGGGGTTACAAAAATAATCAATTTATTGTTTTAATGAAAATCGATTATCCGTTACAATTAATCGATTATTTTTGATTAATCGAACATTTTCAATAAATTGTTTTCGGTTTTTTAGGTAATGGAATGATCGATTATAAAGGAATTACAAAAAGAGAGTAGATTTATTCAAAATATTCGATTTATTATAATCGATTTATTGTTTGATCGACTTTTGAAATTATTCGATTATTTTAGATTTACCGAATATTTTCGATTAATCGATCATTTTCGATTTTTCAAAGGTATTCGAATAATTTGTTTTAAAAGAAATGCGAAAAAATAGATTATATGAAAATAATCGATTGATCGAATATAATCGGTTATTTTGTATAATAGATATTTCTGTTATTTTGTATAATAGATATTTCGGTTATTTTTTAGAATTATCGATTTATCGGTCAATCAGCTTTTTATTAATCCTTTATTTTCGATTTTTCAAAGATAATCAAATAATCAATTTTAAATGAAATATGAAAACAAAAGGATTATTTGAAAATAATCGATAATTCAGTTATTTTTTTGGAAAATCGATTTTTCGTAGAATCGGCTTCTTAATTAATTGGTTATTTTCCCTCAATCGATTATTTTTGATTAAGCAATTATTTTCCATGTTTCAAAAATGATCGAATAATTGATTTTAAAGGAAAAAATTCTTTTTTTTTTAATCGATTTATCGATTATTCGACTTTTTAAATAATCGATTATTTTTGATAAATCGATTATTTTTGATTAATCGATTAGATTTTTCAAAGATTATCGAATAATCTGTTTCAATGGAAATACGAAAAAAAATAGTTTATTTAAAAATAATCGATTAATCGGTTAATTGGCTTTTTAATTAATCTATTATTTTTGATTTTTCAAAGATAATCAAGTAGTCGATTTTAAAGGAAATACGAACAAAAATAGATTGTTTGAAAATAATCGATTGATCAAAAATAATCGATTATTATTAATGATCAATAATTTATTTCGATAATCACCCACTCCTAGCGACCAAATGACTTTTAATAGGTTTAAATTTTAAAAAGTTATCTGGTTTCAGACATATGCATTTCTAGAGTTTTATGTGTCTCATCTTCTATATTAATTAATATTCCTAAAGAAACAAGCTTTAATATATCTTTTTCTGAGGTTATAATACAAAACAGCAATTTCTCATTTTGACTAATTTTTAATATTATGTCAAGTCGTAGAAAAAATATAATGTTCAACTCACAAGGTTTGATTTGCAGTATTCGCCTACGCACATGCTTTTTTTATAATACTCTTAGACAATGAGTACCATTTCTTACTCGATTAACAATATTCTATTTCAACATTTTACTGTAGTCTCTTACATAAAAGTCCGTAGTAAATAATAGCTAACGAAATATTTTGTAAAAGATCTTCTCTTTACATAAAATGTCGTGGCATCTGTTTGATATTAAAAAAATCACGTTAAATTTATTTCATAATACAAAATTCCATTAAATGTATATTTTAAATAAATCTAATAGTTTATTATGATGCTAATAAACAAAGTCCGGTCCCTGTCACAGAGTTCGGGTCCCTGCCCAGTTCCCCCACTCCGTTAACCTTTCTTTAGAAATTGGCAACATTTGCGCAGGTTAAACACCGGTGTATGTTATATCTCTGGTCTCTTTTATCTAAGATTAATATCAACTAATCAGAACTTATTGTGTTAAATACTTATGGGTGTGGACCAACTACACACATGAATTCGGATTGAAATATATTTTACAAACGCAGATAATATGGAAAAAACTGATGAAAATATAACGCTACAAACATTGCATAAAGAAATCATTAACCAAAACTCTGAGATAAAAAATCTTATACTCGCAAGCGAGGCTAAAATCTTGCTTAAATTAGAGGAGCAAAAACAACAAATAAAAGATCTTGAACAAAAAAATTGTATACTTAAAGAAAGCATAGAACACCTAGAAAGAGAAAATGAAAGGAAAAATTTGGTAATATAATTTATGGCCTAAATAAACCGGTTTTGCTGTCAAAAAATTGTGTGAAGATTTAAATAAACTATTAGATCTAAATATATCCGAAAAAGTCTTTAAATCCCAGCTTAAATCATGCATGTGATAGTTTGATGTCTAGATAATTTAATTTAACTTATTTACAAATGTTATCCTGTTTTTTTTATATTTAATTTTTTCTTGTTTATGTTAATTTTATGCTAATGTGTATTTCTTTGTTTTAACATTCTCTAAGTGTAGGTTAGGTTTTAAATTTTCCCTTTTATTGAACTGTATTTTAATTGGTCAATTGCTCGTTGATAAATAAATAAAACGATATTGGCGATTATTTTCCTTTGGGAAAGGCTACGAATTGTCCTATTAAATTGGAGTTATTATCACAATTAAAAAAAAATTTAATACTCAAAAATACAAAGAAACTTAAAGGTACCAAAGTCTCAATTTCTCATGATTATACAAAAATCCAACTTAAGGAACAGAAAATACTAAAGGAAAACTTGATTAAAATAAGACAGAAATACCCCTCTACTGTAAGTTACATAAGACATAATAAGCTATATAGCGACAATAAATCTTATAAAATAGATGATCTTTCTGACTTTGAGGGAAAGGAAGACGAGGACGAAGAAATAAAGGAAGAAAGACATAGAAGTGATCCTGGAACACCTACTGTCGAAAAATATAACACGCCCAAATCGAATAACCAAAAAACTATTTTAGTAAATACAAACATTCAGCAATTACCCAAACAACAGACTCATCCAAAACCACCAACACCCAGAGAATAAAAAAAAACACCAACAAGCAAACCAACATCAACCTCCAAATCAACAATAACAACAAAACCAAAACACAATTCGCACTAGATTACAATCACTAAATAATAACTCGAGAAGTTAAATAATTTTAAATTTAAGATTTAATTTTTTTAATATTTTGTATGCAAAATTTTATGTTCTCAGAAATATTTTATTATTTTTTTTTCTGCTCTTTAAGAAAATACGTTTTGGATCATTAGGTAATCTCTCATATTTAGGTACTCATTAAAGTCATAGCTATATAAATATAATATTTAAAAAATGGATCAATTCATTAGAGATGTT